TGTTGAGCGAGGTAAGCCAAGAGCGAAGAGACAAACGGTACATGGTCTCCCTGATAAGTGGATGCTAAATCCAAAATGTTAGGTGATACGACAAAATTAACAGGACTTAAGAAACAAAGAACTCCTGCTCGTCTGGTTGAACCACTACTAAATATCCCCATGCTGCTGACCACATGTATGGTGTATATGTATACACCATTGTATGTTATAGACTGTGATAAACAATTTGCTCCAGGAAAGTTAGAATGAACTTGTGACTTTAAATGAGCATCATTATTCCACAATACTGTGAAATTCAGGAAATTATCTAATCACTTAATCACAATAAAAAAAAAAAAACTCTCGGGAAGGTCCCTACCGAGGGAAGGGCTGGTAGGGGGAAAACAATGGAGGGGGTAACAATGTTCAATAGGAAGTGTACTCACTATCTCACTCGTGTAACTGTAACCCTCTGTATAGTATCTTTACAATAAAAAAAATTTTTAAAAAAGATTTGCTGGATAGGGGCTGGGAAGGTGGATCAGGGGTAGAGCACTTGCCTTGCATGCCTGAGGCCCTGGGTTCGATTCCTCAGCACCACATAAGCAAAAAGAAAAAAGTGGGAAGTGGTGCTGTGGCTCAAGTGTTAAAGCGCTAGCCTTGAGCTGAAGAGCTGAGGGACAGTGCCCAGGCCCAGAGTTCAGGCCCCACGACCAGACCTCCCCCCCCCCAAAAAAAAGACTTGCTGGATATAGATACATATATTTGTGTGTGTATATACATATATATATGTGTATATTAATAACCATATGCTTCCTATAGGAAACACTTTATCTGCAAAGATATTCACAGTCAGTAAGGATGAAAAATAGGATTCTGTGCAGGACACCTATAATAAGCAAGAACATCTGAAAATAAAAAAGATTTATTTAAAAGAGCAAGACAAGGGGCTGGGAAGGTGGCTCAGTGGTAGAGCGCTTGTCTTGCATGCCTGAGGCCCTGGCTTCGATTCCTCAGCACCACATAAGCAAAAAGAAAAAAGCCGTTAGTGGTGCTGTGGCTCAAGTGATAGAGCGCTAGCCTTGAGCTGAAGAGCTGAGGGACAGTGCCCAGGCCCCACAACTGGACCCCCCCCCAAAAAAGAGTAAGACAAACCTGTGGTTCACATCTGTAATGTTAGCTACTTAGGAGGTGGAGATCTGAGGATTGCAGTTCAAAGCCAGCCCAGGCAGGAAACTCCATGAAAACCTTTTCTCCAACACATTCCCGCTCCCCCCACCAAAAAGAGAAAAAAAGCATTACAGCAAAAACAAGCCCAGGCCGAGTTCAAGCCCCATGGCTGACACAAAAGAAGCAAAAAGATGTAATTATTGTAAATGTGCCTAAATGGAATAGAATTCCATTTTGTTTAAAAAACCTGGGTTCTAAAAGGAGATAGGCTGGGACCCAGTTGTTGGACTACAGTCTTACAGGACTGTAGGATCGAGCCTGACCTCAGAGCTTCTACTTGAATGTTACTGTCCCATTTCTTTTTGTTTGGGGGGGTGGTATTTTTGGCAGTTGTGGGGCTTGAACTTGGCCTATGAGGTCTTCAGCTCAAGGCTAGCACTCTACCACTTGAGCCACAGCACAACTAAGGGTTTTCTGGTATTTATTGGAGATAAGAATCTCATGGACTGGGCTGGGAAGGTGGCTCAGTGGTAGAGCGCTTGCCTTGCATACTTTAGGCCCTGGGTTCAATTCCTCATCACCACATATGCAGAAAAGGCTGAAAGTGGTGCTATGGCTCAAATGGTAGAGTGCTAGCCTTAAGCCGAAGAGCATAGTGACAGTGCTTAGGCCCAGAGTTCAGGCCCCACAACTGGCAAAAAAAAAATCTCACAGACTTTCCTGCCCAGGCTGGCTTTGAACCGTGATCCTCAGATCTCAGCCTCTTGAGTAGCTAGGATGACAGGCATGAACCACCAGCGTGTGCCATTTCTTGTGCAAAGTGGCTTATACAGAATTCTCTTGACTCTTCAGCTGGAGCAGAAGATCTTTATGTTTGAAATTACTTTTTGCAGATCTGTGTTGGTCTTTCCAGATTTTGGACTACAAACACAGACTCATGCTTTGAACAACACGTGGTCTGTGGCCTGTCCTATGGAAAGGCAGGTCACACACCGCGTGGACACACATGCTAAAATCCCACCTAACACAGAAACACGATCATGATTCCTTGAAACTCAAGCCAACACCCAGAACACACCCACCAAGAAGACAAATCCATCCTACCATGCTTAACACTCCTTTAATGTGTTGTTCTAACCGTGGGGAGCAAGGCACCATGGACAGTAACACCACATCTCAGCTGCCACACCTGCGTGACAGGTTTTTGGGAAAGGATATGCCAGGAAGAGCTGTGCACTGGTGAAGGAGGAGATGTGGAGCAGTTCACACCTGGGACTAGAGCTCAGGAACCCCCCTCAGCTGGTACTCCTCGCTGAGCCAGGGCTGGTGTGTGATGGTCAGTGGGGGGACGCGCTTCTCCACCACCACTTCCAGAAGCTTCTGCGAGTCCTCATCCAGCAGAGCTTTGTCCAGACTGTGGAAACAGACACAGCTTTCTCGGCATATGTTCAGTAGCTCCTCCATGCCCTACGCCCGCCATACCTCTGGCCTCCCTGGGTGCCAGGCCCGGCGCCCAGCGAGCGAGCGCGAATCCTTGTGTGTTCCAGTCACGGTCCGGAAAAAGAAAGGTTGAAGTTTGGTTTTAAAAAAAATCAAAAACAGGCCTGGGAAGGTGGCTCAGTGGTAGAGCGCTTGCCTTGTATGTATGAGGCCCTGGGTTGGATTCCTCAGCACCATGTAAGCAAAAAGAAAAAAAGCAGAAGTGGCGCTATGGCTCAAGTGGTAGAGCGCTAGCCTTGAGCTGAAGAGCTGAGGGACAGCGCCCAGGCCCAGAGTTCAGGCCCCACAACCGGACCCCAAAAAGAAAAATTATAAGCCAGGCACCAATGCCTCACGCCTATAATCCTAGCTACTCAGGAGGCTGAGATCTGAGAATCACGGTTCAAAGCCAGCCCAGGTAGAAAAGTCCCTGAGACTCTTATCTCCAACAAACCACCAGAAAAACTGGAAGTGGCACTGTGGCTCAAGTGGTAGAGCAGCACTCACCTTGAGCTGAAGAGCTGAGGGACAGCGCCCAAGCCCAGAGTTCAAGGCCCATGACCACCACCACCACTATATATATATTTTTGTTGTTGTTGTTGTTCCATTCACAGCTTGGATAATAATCAGCCTGGTCTGTCTCCACCCTGGAGCATTCTGGGAGGCTCTTTAAAGCAGCCATTCCACAGAATCACCACTGGAAACACACAAGCACTTCTCATCTGTTCCTTGTGCCTTGACCCCCTTCTGCCCACAGCTGGTCTTCGCATGCTGCACGCAGCTGTCCTGGTAAAGGGCTGTCCCCACAGGTACTCGGATGATCGGTGCAGCACCGTCCTCAGCAGGGCACTACAGGTCCTAGAACGCCATCATAGAACCACGCAGAGGCCAAGCCAAGCAAGGCTATGGCGCCCATGCCTGGCCTCATCCCACCCCCATGCATCACATTACCCACACACAGCACTCACCCCAGCAGCTCCAGGGTGCAGTCCTGGTGGCTGAGCGCCACGCACAGTGCCTCCACACCCGCATAGTCAAAGGCCACCCAGTCCAGGCTCAGCCTCCTGAGCGATGGGCAGCTGGTGAGGGCCGCGGCAAGGTCTCCACAGCAGTCGGAGGTGAGCGGACACATGTCCAGCCTGGATGGGACACAGCAGGGGGAATGCTGTCCTATGCCATCTCCACGCCCTCGAGCAGCATACAGGCCAGACCCTCAGACCTGAGGGACAGGACTACGGCTTGAAGGTCAGAACAGGCCCTCCCACAAAGGGCCAGCCGGGCCCACATGACCCCATCTTACAACATAGAATGCAGGATTCTGTGCCAGACAGACACGTTTCCCAACCTCCCAGCCCTTGGTTCCTCTCATCCCGAGGCCACAGCCAGCAGCAACTCACCCGAGCGTCTGCAGTCCACACTTGGGGTGCTGCAGGGCCTCGCACAGGAGTTTTACGCCGGAATCCTGGATTTTGTTGCCCCCGAGTTTCAGGGTCTTTAGGTTACCATTGCAGGTCATTGCCTCGGAGAAGACCTCGCAGCACCCAGAAGTGAAGTAACAGCCTGGCAGCCTGGAGGATGAAGCACACATCCAGGTATGGAGGCCCCTCAGCAGCTCTGCTCACCTTCACTGACTCATGAAGAAATCGTGAAGCCCCACTAATGACCACCCCACCCTCCCGCTCTGTCCCCAAGCTCACACCTCCATTACTCTCATAAAAGAAAGGAAAGGGGGAAAGCCAGGTGCTAATGGCTCACATCTGTCATCCTAGGAGGCTGAGATGGTGAGGATCATAGTTCAAAACCAGCCCAAGCAGGAAAATGTGAGACTCTTATCTCCAATTAACCACTAGAAAACTGGAAGTGGTGCTGTGGCTCAAGTGGTTGAGCGCTCGCCTTGAGCTGAAGAGCTGAGGGACAGCGCCCAGGCCCAGAGTTCAGGTCCCACAACCAACAAAAAGCAAAAAGAAAGGAGAAGTGGAGAAGATAAAAACAGATACATAGACAGTGGACATTGATAGATGTCTCTGTGGGTTTGCTGACACTGTGTGGTCCCCAATTTCTGGTTCTTAGCACCTGTGACCTCATGTGCTGAAGGGATGTGGTGTCTGGGGTACTCACCCCATTCCTGGGGGCTTAGCCCCCTGATCCATCACCTCCCCAGGCCACATCTCTTAATGAGGTCCCCTCAGGGGAAACCTGACCACCCCTACCAGAGCTCCTGTAGGCTGCAGTCTGGTTGTCGCAAGGCTTTACACAGATTCACCGCCCCAACATCCTCCAGGAAATTTGACCCCATGTCAAGCAGAGACAGAGATCGGTTCACCCGAAGGGCTTGGGCAATGTAGTCACAAGCGACCTGGGTGAGACAGCAGTATGACAACCTGCAGACACACACAAACACACACCTGTCACCTGCTCTGCCTCTCTGGGGCAAGGCAATCCTAATACTCCCTGCAGTAGATGTTCCTCTCCTGATAGTCTGCGTTTTCATGTTTTTTTTTGTTTTTTGGGGGGGTCCGGTCATGGGGCCTAAACTCTGGGCCTGGGCGCTGTCCCTCAGCTCTTCAGCTCAAGGCTAGTGCTCTACCACTTGAGCCACAGCGCCACTTCTGGCTTTTTTTCTTTTTGCTTATGTGGTACTGAGGAATTGAACCCAGCGCCTCAGACATGCAAGGCAAGCGCTCTACCACTGAGCCACCTTCCCAGCCCAGATGAAAGCCTCTTCATCTGGATTAATGAAATTGTATCTGCCTTTTGAAAAATCTGTTAATCATTTGATGATAGCATAACATGTTCTCTGATGCATACTCCTCAACAAGACTGGCAGCTTTACTTTCAATTTTAAGCATTTTTTTGTACTGAGACTTGAACTCAGTCCCTCGTGCTTGCTAAGACAGGCACACTCAGCACTGAGCCCCAAGTGGAGGCTCGCTTTCCAAGGCTGGGGATAGGTGCCCTCACACCGCCAGCTTCCATCGCAGCTCTCCATTGAAAGGGAAGCTTGGAAGCTTTTCTTCCTGGGTTGTCCTTGAACTGTGATCCTCCCAAATAGCTGGAGGAAAGGCACAGGCCACCAGTGCCCAGCAAGCTTTTATGGATTCAAATGGTAGTTAAGACATTTGAACTCTTAAAATCAGAGTGACTCTGGTGGGTACTTGTGGCTCATGCCTGTAATCCTAGCTACTTGAGAGACTGAGATCTGAGGATTGCCAGCCTGGGCAGGAAAGTCTGAGAGACTCCTATCTCCAATAAACCACCAGAAAATCAGAAGTGGCACTGTGGCTCAAGTGGTAGAACTCTCGCCTTGAGCTCCATGATAGCTCCCAGGCCTAGAGTTCAAGACCCACAACTGACAAAAACAGAAATGGTGCTGTGGCTCAAGTAGAGCACTTAGCACAAGGCAGTTCAGGGACAGCACTCAGGCTCTGAGTTCAAGCCCCAAGACCGACAAAAAAATGAACATCATAGCTCAATCAGCTATCAGCCATTGATTGCACCTTAATTCAATCGGCTGTATGTACAAAAAAAATTTAAGAAGCAATTGTTCAATAGCCAATGACTCCTGTCTTCCCGTGTCATTTCTCCTTGACATCTGCCACAGCATCTGACCTTTTAGACCTCGGTGCTCCTTTTCCTCAACCAGTTTAGTGTCCATATTTACTATCCTTGAAGTTTGTATCACTTCAAGCTCAACATTCCTAATTGAAAAATGAAGCTGGGCACCAGTGGCTCACTCCTATCATCCTAGCTCTCTGAGGATCCTAGCTGAGATCTGTAGATCTCGGTTCAAAGCCACCCCGGGCAGGAAAGTCTGAGATTTATCTCCAATCAACCACCAGAAAAACTGGAAGTGGCACTGTGGCTCAAGTGGTAGAGTGCTCACCTTGAGCTGAAGAGCTGAGGGACAGCGCCCAGGCCAGAGCTCAAGACCCAAGGCCAACAAAAAGAAAATTAAAAAAAGAAGGAAATATGACAGCATCCACCCAGTGAGCAGCTGGCAGGTTCTCCAGTGGCTGGAGCCCTATGCAGGCATTGAGACCCCCACCGTGTACGCACATGAGGGTGTTCAGGATGCAGTTTGGGTCCTTCAGGCCTCCACAGAGAAGCTTCACCCCTCTGTTCCCAATAGGATTGTCCACCAAGGACAGACACCGCAGCCTCTGATACTTTATGACGAAGCTGAAGCTCTCGCAATGCCTCGTCAAGATGTTACACTTCCCCAGCCTGCACGGGAGACACACATCACAGGTTGGGACCACCTGTGGTGATAGATGGTCTGCACAAAATTGCACACTGGGGGCTGGGAAGGTAGCTCAGTGGTAGAGTGCCTGCCTTGCATGCATGAGGCCCTGGGTTCAATTCCTCAGCACCACATACACAGAAAAAGCTGGAAGTGGGTGCTATGGCTCAAGTCATAGAGCACTAGCCTTGAGCTGAAGAGCTCAGAACAGTGCCCAGGCCCAGAATTCAAGCTCCATGACCAGCCAAAAAAAAAAAAAAAAAGATTGCACACTGACTGAATCGTGGTCTGGGTTCCTGTCTTAACACGTCGACCCATGGCATGTGCTCTAGGTTGTTTGAAAGCACAGACAGAGATACACAACTCCCTGCATAGACAGTTGCAGTGATATCAGGGGTGAGTATGAGCAGGGAGTTTATCACACCCCGTGGATGGAGAGCTGAGTCCTCGGCATGTCAGAGACAGGCCCCCAAGATTGCTTCTGACAAACTGGCTATAAATCAAGGTCAGGTTGAACGAAGTTCTAGAGATCATAGACCTGAAATCGACTCACTTAGTGTATTATGATTCGACAGAGATAATGTGGCTTGTGAGATGGAAACACATGTTGGCCAGGTCTAGAAGGGCCTAGTGTCCAGTGGCTCCAGCCTGCAGCAGTGAACGAGGCACATCCACACCTCTGCTGATGTGGGAACTCAGCTCACAGGTGTTGTGGCTTTTAAGGAAACAGCATCACATTCCCAGGGATGACTTACCACATCCTCCCCCAAGGAGCTCCAGCCAGTAAGCCTGGCTTGGGCCATCTGGGCACCAGCTCCCCAGCCAGGAGCCCACCAAGGCCCAGCTCATCAGCATAGAAATCACAACAAGCCAGGAACAGTGGTGCACACCTGTAATCCACCTTCACATCTATCCTGAGTGTCCACATAAGTCATTAACAGAAAGTGCAAGTCCGTTGAAGTTGCAATGGTAAGGGGTGACACACTTCCTGTTTTTCGTGAGTTGGTTTTGTTCATTGCTACCTGAATGACTTCCCTGGTGTTATTTCTGGTAAAATAAATAAATTGGTGTGCCTAGAAGTCCCTCATTCACGAGAGGAGGCAGAAACTGCTTTGTCAGAGCAGTCACTTTAGCTCAGGGCAGACAGCATGCTCATGATTGGTGTGGTGTGCTCTGGTGCTCAGAGGGAGTGGAGTTCTAGTTCAGGAATGCTTAGAGGGAGAGAAGAGACCAGAGTGTCAGGATGCTTCCGGAGCAGAGGCCTGCATGAGTGGCAGGGATGAGGAAGGTGGGGTGTGCTCTGACCCTACCTCCACCTTCCTGTGCACCCTCCCCCCCCCCACCAAGAGAACAAGACAATGGCAGCCATGAAAAGCATGAGGGCTGAAGGCCAGAGCCATGGCTTCCGGCAGAGAACGTGGGCAGCATGGAGCTGCCTGGACCAGGTCATCTCTGCACACACATGCCTTACACTAAGTGACTTACATCAAGTCCTCCACGGTGTTGTCTGGCTTCATCAGTGTGTCACATAAGATGGTGACATTCTCCTCGAAGCCGGTTCCATACAGATTCACCTGCCTCAGGTAAGGGCTACGAAGCACTGCCTCAAAAAATTCTCGCTCATAATCTCCAGAAGGCATACAGGTGCTCCTGCAGACGAGGAGAGAGCACGTCATGCCATCTGAATGACGCTGGTAGAACACTCACTCCTCCACTGTCCAGTTTCTTCATGGCAAAGAAATACTGTGATGGCCAACATCTATATCTAGGATATTGTCAGCTACAAGGAATATACCTAGTGCGTGCACACACACACACATTTATAAACTAGAGATGTAGGTATTCATAAACTAAATGTACAGGCTTTTGTCATGAGAAATATAAATGTGCATGTATAACATCAGAATTCATCTGTGTCAACTTCTGCTCTCGCTAGCCTCACATGACAGCAGCCCTGCATTTACACTGTGGTCTTTCCCCTAAGGAAGCAGAAAGAAGATGGAAACCTGTGTCTATCTAAAGGACAGGTAAGAATCAGACTCACCACAAGCTCTGGAGGCTGCCTGTACAGTTAGCCAGTGCTGAAAAGAGAATTCTAAGGTACCCAATGGTGATCCTGAACCTGTGCAGCTCCAGCCTCTGCAGGTCTGGGATACAGCCGAGTACCCTGCAGAATCTCCTGAATTCACACAGATTCCTGCAGGAGAAGAAACCAGTTCTCCACGGGTTCACTTCAAGACATTCTCCAAATTTGCCAGACCTTATTTCTGACTAAGCTAGTAGGCCTAAACAGGTACAACTCCAGCCAGGTAGACTGAGTGACCATGAAACAGGGGCTAAGAAAATGAACTCCCAGGGAGGCCCCAATAATCCCAGATACTCAGAAGACTGTGATCTTCAGATCCAGCCTGGGCAGAAAAAAATCCATGAACCTCTTCAATTCATCAGCAAAAAGCCAGAAGTGGAGGTGTGGCTCAAGCGGTAGAGCTCCAGCCATGAGCTAAAAGAGCCCAGGAAGAGTGCGAGGCTCTGAATTCAAGCCTCAGCACTGTACAATGAGAACACAGCACTCAGGCATGAGCAACTGAGGTGAGGAAAGAGGTCTCAGTAGAACATCATGAGCTGTGTGACCTCCAGACAAGATAGCTGGCATCTTGTGTTCTTGTCTTCCACTTCCTCCTCTTTTCTATGTGAACACGGGTTGAGGTTTGGTGAACAACAAGCTATGTGCATCAACATTGCCCTGTCTGGGGTCCACATACTGGACAGCTCCAACATGTGCTGGGGCCTAAGCCCCACAAGGGTTGCCAGGCAGAGGGCTGAGGGGAGGGCTTGTGGGGCGGAGCAGAGGATGCTGGGTGTCCCCTAGTGGTACCTTGCTGGGGGCAGCCACAGGCACCATGGTGTGAAGACAGCCAGCTTGCAAACAGTAAAAGCCACCAGCCCAGCCCAGTCCTCCCTTCCCCTCTCCTCCCCTCCCCTCCCTGGGGCCTCTGCAGTGCACCTGCAAAAGCTAGGGGGCAAGGGGAGTGAGGCTCCCAGCTGTACTCACCCGTCCTCCCCTCGGTGGCCTCGGAACGTCCTGTTGCTCCCATGTTCCTCCAGGTCCCAGATGTGCTTGGAGTCCTGGAAGATGGTGTGGATGCACAGGCGCAGCGTCCTCAGCCTCCGGCAGTGTTCCAGGCAGGAGGTGGCCACAATGAAGTGATCCATCTCGCAAATTGTGAGCGACATTTCTTCGAATAGATCTAGCACGCTGCCCATAAAGGCCTCATCCCTGGTTTCCATCAAGCCTTGGAACAACTCTAGGAGGCTCATGGCCTCGCCCCGCTCTCGGAGACACGTTAGAGCTTGCATGATCTCCAGCTTCTTGTTCTTTGACAGCAGGAAACCGAGTGAGGTCTCCAGCTCCTTCCTTGTTGTCTCATCCGTGAGTCCATACACGAACACTCCTTCCACAAACAAATGGCTCTGGCTGTCACATAAGACCGCTGACACCAGCTGAGCCACACTACCAAAAGCAGCATCTGTAGATTCGTTGAAGAAATAAAACATGGCGGCCAAAAACGACTGCATGGCCAGGTCCCTGAAGATGAAGCACTGGCCGCTGGGCTGAAGGATGTCCAGGCCCAGCCACAGCAGGATGTCTACTGAGGAGACCCCAAATCTGGCCAGGTCCCCACAGCTGAACACAAACATGCGTGTCCACATTCCGTGTGCAGCTAGCATGCAGAGGCTTTGGAGCTGGGCCCTATTCTGATCTGGTGAGCATTTCAGATATCTTCTTTTGAATGCACTTGTGAGGAAGGATACGTAGAAAGAAGTGATGTTGTGGGCGGACATTCTAAAGTAGTCCCCTGACTCGAGCTGCCATTTCAAACATCTGCAGGTCATCCGGCAGAAGATGGGCCGGTTGCACACAGACAACAGATCCAACCTGGACTGCACGAACTCCAGGGCCGCAGACGCATGTTCTGGAACATGGAAGAACTGGGAGAAATACAACTCTAGCAGAATATTCGAGAAATGGAAGATCATGATGTCCTTTGGCTGCTTCAACAAGTAATGGATGGGGATCATCTCTCTGGCATTCCGTAGCCCAAGCAGCAGGGATGATTCAGGGAGCAGCTCTTTCTGCAGCAAGCTGCTCAGGATAACGGGGGTCGGCTGTCTCTGATCCCACTTGGTGCACAAGTCAGTCCGAATTTCCAGGTCAAAGTTAAGCTTCTCAAACCCATCCAGGATGAACAGGGTTCTCTCTGGCTGGGAGAACATCTCGCCGATGACCGCAGAGGCCCCGGGCCAGTCCCTGGAGACCAGCTCTGCCAGACTGGTCTCCACCACTGAGTTGATCTCGTAGACCGCAAAGAAGAACACGAACATGAATCTGCCCTCCCAGAGGGTTCCCTCCGCCCAGTCCAGCATCAGCCTTCTCAGAAGCGTTGTTTTCCCGATGCCCTCTGGGCCAAACAGGACTGCGGTGACGCCGCTGGCTACCTGGTGAGCAAATGCATTGCACAGCCATGTGTACTGGGGCCTCATGGTATTTTTATAGAACTCATCGGGGACTTGAAGGCAGGTTTCCCTTTCCCACACCTGCTGGAATTTTTCCCTCATTTGCTTTCTGTAGGCAAAGGATGTATCTGTATTAACAAGAACAACAGAAAACAGAATGTGAGGCAGCCCGGTGCCTGTGGCTCACACCTATCATCCCAGCTACTCAGGAGGCTGAGAGCTGAGGATCACAGTTCAAACCATCCCAGGCAGGAAAGTCCATGAGACTCTTATCTCCAATAAACCACTAGAAAACTAGAAGTGGCGCTGTGGCTTGAAGTGGTAGAGTATTAGCTTTGAGCAAAAAGAGCTCAGGGACAGCGCCCAGGTCTGGGTTCAAGCCCCAAGACTAACAAAAAAAATTTTTAACTCAAAAAAATTACACATGGGGCTGGGATGGTGGCTCAGTGGTAGAGCACTTGCCTTGCATGCATGAGGCCCTGGGTTCGATTCCCCAGCACCACATAAGCAAAATAGAAAAAAAAAGCCGGAAGTGGCACTGTGGCTCAAGTGGTAGAGCACTGGCCTTGAGCTGAAGAGCTGAGGGACAGGCCCAGGCCCAGAGTTCAGGCCCCACGACCGGACCCAAAAAAAAAAAAATTACACATGAAGCAAACATAAATAGAAACTCACTGGGCACCGGTGGCTCACATCTGTAATCCCAGCTACTCAGGATGCTGAGATCTGAGGGTCAGGATTTGAAGCCAGCCAGGGAAGAAAAGTCCCCGTGAGACTCTTATCTCCAATCAACTACTGAAAATCCAGAAGTGGGGCTGTGGCTCAAAGTGGTAGAATGCTAGCCTTGAGTAGAGGCACTCAGGAATGGTGCCCATGCCCCACAACCGACAATGAACAGGGAAAAAAGACACTAGTGTAAAGTTTATTTCATGACCTTCCAGAACACCCTGTCAAAGAAGAGACTCAGCCTAGAAGAGAAACACAGGGCAACACCTAGCTGGGCAGGGGGTCAGATCGCTTTCCCATCACTGCCCAAGGCTGGTCCTGGAATGACCAGCACTGGGGTACGACTCTGAAACCCCCATGGTTCAGCCCACACCTGCGGCCAGGTGGACAGACCACCAGCCAACAATGACATTAACCTTCATGACAGGAAGAGCCCAGTGAACCAAGCCCCACCCCGTACCCTCTGACCCTCCGCCCTGAACTTACTTCCCATCTCTTCCTGCACCTGCATCCAGAGATCCTTCCTATCAATCTGCAGGAGGAGGCTCAAGGTCATGTCCCACACCTGCCTGCCAGGGTAGTGCCCCACCAGAAACCTGGCCAGTTCTTCCTCTGAGGCGCTGTTGATCTCCGGCCAGGGGATGGGCGGGAGCTGGGATTTCAGAGGTTCACACTGGAGGAGCTCCTTAAACCTCCCAAACTCTTCATATGTGAGCCTGCCCAGGTACTGCACCAAGCCCAATTCGGAAAAATATGATTCAGCCATCTTGATTCAAGCCTTCAGAACAAAGGACTAAGAGACACCTGTGGGAGGACGGCAGAGTGAAGTTCCCACAGCTGGACACGGATGAAGACCACCCCTCCACCCCCGTCCTTCACCCAGCTGCTTCCTGCCTAACCCAAGGCTGGAGCTCTGTGTGCACCACAGCATCTCCATTAATGCTTCAAATTTTCCTAAGGAAACGCGGTTAGGTGCATGGATTTGGGGAGTCCCTTGTATGGTCCATGGCATCAACTGCACCTGATGTAGTCATGCTGGCATCTCTGGGGGTAACCAATGGAACCCCTAAATGCTTGCAAAGATCCCTCCCATTAGTGAGCCTCACGGCTTTCATCAGTAGGACTAATGGCAGTCAGGAGCATGTGAGCTGGCACACGCACATGTGCACACACACACACATTTCCTCTCTCCAGGACTCATCACCGTACCATGACTATTTGAGTAACCAGTGAGTTCCTGGTAGCTGGGTCCCCAGTCCATGTCAGCCCCACGTGCACAAGCGCTATCAGACACCCACTTGCATCCCCGTATATTTGCCCATTTCCCAACACCAACCCCCCATCATAAACAAAACCCCGTGTGCCAAAAACTCTCAGAATCCTCCAGTGGGGTTCATGGGGTCGTGGGGCACAGTGGACAAGATCTGGGGTGAACTCCATGCCAGCCAGACGCGCGAGTGAATGCCTGGCCTGGCGTGGCAGTGGACCGGCGTTCCGCTGCGATTAGGACAGAACCCAGTACACACCACCACGTGGACAAACCTTGAGATTCTCCAATGCGAACCAAGCCAGGTGTGTGCGAGGCAGCTACTGAGCAGTTCCTCTGGGTTGGGGTACTTAGGGCAGACTACAGACACAGGAAGGCTGGGAAGAGGCTGGGGAGGGGGCTGGAGGGGGGATGGGACAGTTTCATGGACACCAATTCAGTGTGGATACTAAATACAACACCACGGCAGCTGCATCGCAGATGGTTTGCAGTGGTAAATTGAGGCCATGTGTCCTTTACCACAATCCTGTGAGGCCTCACGTGTGCCCGATCTCATCTTTAACCTCCCCCTCTTTGCCGAAGCCCAAGCCGCCACAAAGGAGCCATCGTCACCACCTGCTCCCCTCTGCGGGCTGGGGGGAGAGGAAGGGTCCTCACTTTTCACGATCTGCCGGCCACCCACCCCCCAGGGCCTCCCTGCCACCCGTCTGCGCTTGTGCGAGGTGCTTGTTGGTGTCTCCGCAGCCCACCACTGGGGTCTCTCCCACATCCCCGCACGTGAGCACACTGCCTCCAAGCCCACCAGCCAAATCCCTGTGGCCACAGCTCTCCCAGCCATGTCCTCTTCCACTTCGTCCTCCGCAGGCCCGGGCTTGGCTTTCTCTGGACACCTGCACCCCAGCAGGCCTGCCTTGGAACCCTCCAGATCCCCAAGCCTTCCCATCCTCCCACTCCAGGTCCATTCTGGAAAAGAAAGGGCCCCAAACCCAAATCCTTCTCCAAGAGGCCCCTCTCCCCACCCTAGCCCCCAGTCCAGAGTTGGGGAGCACAGGTGTGAAGAGATGAGGCACAGGCCTCTCACCTCTCACAGGCTTCTCACCACCCTGCCAAGACAGAGGGCTCTGTTGAGCTGGCCCAGAGCAGCTTTCCTCCTCAACCCCACCTGCCACCTTTCTAGAACACTGATCCCATGAAGAAAAGACGCACAGAATGACGAGAAAGAAATGCTAAGTGGGCCAGGGAGATGCCATCCTCACCCGCTCTGGGCCTGGTCCTCGCACTGTCCCAGGCCCAAGCGCCCCTATGGAGACAAAGGATAAAGGTTGACCTGCCCTGGGATTGGCCCTGGATGCACGCTTCCCACTGGCCACCAATCAGTAGACTCAGGTGAGGTGAGGCTGTGCCCCCATTGGACAACAGTCAGCAAACTCTGCTCCCATTGGATGCTGCTCCTCGGGTCTGATTCAGCTCCTCCCGCATTGCTGGGTGCTGACTGCCAAGTACTCCCATGACCCACTAATAGGAAGCCCTGCAAAATACAGCACCCCAGCCAACCTCCTCCTGCTACCAGTGAGGCTGGTGAGGAAATCTGGAGCTTGTGCGCTCCTCACCTGAACTCCAACCCCATCCTGTCCCAAAGGAAGCAACTTTGAACATCTCGATTCTGTGTTACGTGTGTCCAAGACCAGCACTCAAACCTGGTGCCTGATGCTTTCATTCATTGGCTGGCACTCTACCAACTGAGCCATGCCTACAACTCCTATTTCTCTCTCAATTTTCTAAGACACACTCAAAAGGATAATTGGTGCATGAGACCTGTGGACATCCTCCAATGGCTAGCTATGAGAATGTTCTGGCAGATGTTGGAAACTTACTCCCACCACCCGTCCTGGAGCTGGCTTGACCTCTGCCCCACCTTGGCTCCACTTGGCCTCCCTGGTCCCTAACCCCCCTCCCCCACTGTCACGATGTGCACGGTACACTAGTGGCTCAGACACCCGGTGTCATGTGCAGCATCCGACTTGGCTCTGAAGTGCTCTGAAGGCAGCGAACAACATTCAGGCTCAGGTCTGACCCAAGGGCTGGGCTGCCTGTGTCAGCCCCATGATAGGGTCCCAAATTTTCCCAGGAGTTTGAAGAGACACCCCTCAGCTCCAACACAGGATGTCCGCTGTCAGGTCATTCAGAGCCAGTGGGAGAAGAAAGAGCTGGCCAGGGGCTGGGAACGTGACTCCATGATAGGGTGCTCGCCTCGCATGCATGAGGCCTGGGTTCAATTCCTCAGTACCACAAACAAGAAAAAGCTGGAAGTGACTCTGTGGCTCACCTGATAGAGTGTTAGCCTTGAGCAAAAGAAGCTCAGGGACAATGCTCAGGCCCTGAGTTCAAGCCCCAGGACTGGCCAAAAATAAAGAGCTGGCAAGTTGGAAGGCGGACAGCCGGGCCCCAAACTTCTATCTTGTATAGGGGTGGGCATTCCATCAAAGGTGACCTTGGATGTGACTGTGATACCACACTATGACTGAAGTAATTCACACTGGTAATGCAGATATGACCATGCCATTTCTCCCCGTCTGTAAACTGCTGCAAGCCACTGCCACCGGGATTCTATCCGCACAAAGCCCGCCCTGGGGCAGCCACAGCCACCTGCCCAGCTCCATAAATCTGTCACCATGAGGATGTACCGAAAATGAAATGATACAGCAGGAAATGTATTTATTTTTATTAATTTATTATTATTATAGACAGGATGTACAGAGGGATTACAATACATGAGTCAAGTAATGAGGACATTTGCTTTTGTTCAGTGAGTGTCTGTTGTTCCCTTATCCCCTCCCACCCCTCCCTCCCATCTCCACCCATGAGTTTTGTAGTTCACTTTCATCAGTGTCCAGTGAGCTCCACGGCTGCACTTTTCCACCCTTTTCCCTCTAGCTCTGTACCCTCCCCCCAACCCTACTGAAGACAGACGCTTGAATACACCATACACAAGGAAAAGAATACAGAGCCGCCAAAAATGAAAAACTTTTTTTTAAAAATAGAGGTCTCTCATTTCCATATCTTGGAGTTTATTTCAATATCTATATTATTTCATATAAATATGAAGAGACGCTTAGGCACAGCACCTTTGTGATTCTCTCCTAAGAGTATCCTCTCTTGGTTTCACTATGTATATCTAAAATCCTGCATAGTTTATCATACCCCAGTGCATTTTAGATCTAACTTCTGAACATCAAAGAGAACATGCTCCATTGGTCTGTCTGATCTTGGCTTACCTCAATTTACATGATTTGTTCTAGTTCCATCCATTTCCCTGCAAATGACATTATTTTATTCTTTTTAATGATTGGGCACCACATTTTGTGGGTCCACTCATCTACTGTGGGTCATCTGTGCTGTTTCCATATCTGAGCTATTGTGAATGGTGCGGCAGTCAACATGGGTGTCATATCCTGGCTGGTGATGCTTAGCGTAGATGCCCAGGAGTGGTACGGCTGGGTGGTAGGGAAGGTCTGTGTTTAGTATTTGGAGGAACCTGCAGACTGCTGTCCCAAGTGGCTGTACTAGTTCACAATCCCACCAGCAGCGCAGTGGGGCTCCTTTTTTCTACATCCCTGCCAGCATTTCTTGTTATTTCAATTCAAACAGTTGGCCCATCCAACTGGGGTGAGATGGAATCTGAGTTGTTTTGATCTGCATTTCCTTCATGTCCAGAGATGGTGAGCATTTCTTTGCGTGTTTCTGTGCCATTCTTCCCTTTTCTTCTGAGAAGTCTCTCTTTTAGCTCCCTTGCCCACTTAGTGATTATGATTAGGTTTGGGAGGGCTTCCTTTCTTGAGCTCTCTGTATATAATGGATATTAGGCCTTGTCAAATGTATTGCTGCTAAAGATCTTTTCCCAGCTGGCTGTCTTTCTAGTTTGGTAACTGTGTCTTTAGCAGTGCAGAATCTTTTTGATGTAGTCCCATTGTCAAGCATCTCTCCTGTCTGTTTTGTTCCCCTGGGACACTATTCAAGAAGTTCTTGCCTAAACCTATGTTTTGGGTTTTTATCAAATTGTTTTTTTTTGTTTCTTGTTGGTCATGGTGCTTGAACTCTGGGCCTGGGTTCTGTCGCTCAGCTCCAGCTCAAGGCAAGCGCTCTACCACTTGAGCCGCAGTGCCACGTCCTGCTTTTTCTGCTTATGTGGTGCTGAGGAATTGAACCCAGGGCCTCATCCATTCAAGGCAGGCACTCTACCACTGAGCCACCTTTCTAGCCCTACCTTTAAGTTTTAATGTTTCTCCTACTCTCTTGCATGAGTTTCAGAGTTTCAGTCTACCATTGAGGTCTTTGATCCACTTTGAATGACAAGTGAGGATCCACTTTTAGTTTTCTGCATGTGGCTGCCAGGTTTTCCCAACACCAGTTGTTGACGAAGCTATTTTTCCTCCACTTTCATCAAATATCAGATAATCACAAGTGTATGCTTTTATTTCTGGGTCTTCTAATCTAGTCTA